GGGTCGCAGCTGCCTCTGGAAGGCACCGAGAGGGACAAAATGGCGCAAATGGTCAAATCAAGGTTTTGTAACGCGAGCTGTGCCACAGTGAAATGGAACTAGCCTCTGCCAACACAAAAAAAGGCCAGCGAAACCCGTACGCCCGACGGCACACTGACACTCGGCACCCTGGTAGGGCTAGCTCAAGCCTCAACGGTCTCGTCGGACAAACCGTACGGACAAACCGCACAAGGTACAAGCCACAAGCTGAAGCACTCCTCAAGCACAACACAACGAACAAGTTGTTCCGAGAAGACCCAGACAAGCCAAAGGCTCATCCTTGTGGAGCGCCTGCCAAACGCAGCCTCCCCTGCCTTCCCCACTCGACATATAGTGCGTGTTCGGCGCTGAGGTCGTGGTCCGACTCCACCTGTTCGCAGCGTGAAATGTGACGCCCAGTCATTCGCGGCTGTGCGCTGAGGTCGTGGTCCGGCGCCGCCCGTGCAGTGCGGACGCCCCCACCCCGACAGGCTGCTCCCGTCGGAAGAGAGTCAAGGTAGCTGTAAGGGACGCAGCCCCTCACCTAGAAGGAAGAGCATGATGACAATGTGCTCCAGTCTGTTCGTTTCGCTCTCTGCTCGCCACCTCGCCGCCGCCAAAGAGGGTGGTGGAGTTGCACCTGCCAAGTGGAGGGGGGAAGGAGGCAGCGTGTTGTTCAATAGGCGCGTTGGTGCGAGGGAGAGATGCAGTGCGTTCTGGAGGTGAGGCGCTCAAAGCACGCTGTGGGGCAAATTAGCGCCTCTCAAGCGCATATAGCACCGTAAGGAGGCCTGAAGAGCACTTGCGCTTGGGCCGGCCCGTGCCACGTGCGCTCACGTTGCCGTTGACCCGTGCGAGGCAGCGACCAATGAGGCCGCGCTCCGTGCCGACAAACGTCCACGGCCCCCGCGTCGCCTTGCGGACGAGAGAGGGGCATGGGACTGAGAGGAGCTGCGGTAAATTTTGAGGCGGGTTTGAAGGGGAGATATTGGCCCTGCGCTCCCCAATCTCTTCGCACAATGGGCCCCTCCTTCTACCTTGCAGTGTTGCTGATAGAGCCGTCTCTGCTGCACCGCCCAGCCGGGCGATGGGCGCACGTCGAGAAAGGAGAGCGCGGCGGCGCCGTGGTCGAAGTCTCTGGCAAAGGCGTCCGCCGGGCTTGCGCCCTCGGGGTAAAAGTGCACCGTCTGCTGGGTGGTGCGGCTGCCAACATGCACCTTAGGTCAGTGAAGGGACGCGTCAGCTTTTGCCAGCTTCCACTGGCTCTGGGCTTCCAGTTGCATTTCCACATGCTGAGCAGAACGTGAGTTTGCTCCTCCTCCTCTCCAGAGGCTCCTTCGCTGTGCAGGTGACTATGTGGTATCTTCCACGCCTCGTGCGGCCTCAATGCGTGCGCGTTGATCCTCCACACCTGCGGGCGAATACCGCGTGTTCGATTGCGCGCGAGCAGCGTCAATAGTACGCCATAGCATGGATTTCGGTGCATGCAGTGTCGGAGATGCTGGCATACGGACGGGCAGGACACACCTCGTCGTGCGCGTCGATCTCTGTGCCATGTTGCGCAAGCAGCAGCGATCCTGCGTTGAAGACAACGGCGCAGCGGCGCAGCCGTGGCGCGCGCAGAGCATGCGCAGCGTCGACGCAGTGCGCGAGTGACGTCGCGGGTGCCAGCGAAAGGGCCATATACACAACATGCGTGGGGGCGACAACGTGTGCGTTCCACGTGTCCCACGTGGTCCCAGGTAGGTGTGTCGTTACACTGGTTGGTCGGCGGCATGGCATCCCCGACTGCGCCCTCGTTCTCCGTGCCGAAGGAGCTCCCGTCGGTGCTGAAGGCCTTTACGCGGGAAGTCCTCCGCGCCAACCCGCCCGACATCTACGGCTTTGGCGCCGAGTACTTTCGTGAGGTCGTCGCAGCCTCCAAGTCGGCCCGGGCGAACAGCGACACGATATCGGCGCAGCTAGACAGACCGCATGAGGTGGGCGTGACGGGAAATAAGACTGCACCTACGCCTGAGAGCCTGCCCGGCACCGATGTAGCTAGTCTAGACGTGCCAGTCTCTGCACCTCCGCCGCCAGAGGCAGAGCACCTGCCTGACGTGGGCGAGGCAGAAGGAGGCGGTGGTAATAGTGAGGCAGAAGGAGGCGGCAGTGGTGGTGGCGAGGCAGAGGGAGGCGGTGGTGATGGCGAGTCGGATCGAGGCGGCGGAGAGGAGGCCGAGGGAGGCGGCGGCGAGGATGAGGTGGGGGGAGGCGATGAGGGCAGCGGGGAGCCCGCGGAGGGAGGCGGTGAGGGCGACGACGCAGACGGCGGCGATGACGGGGAGGAGGAGGGGGGTGGAGAGGGCGAGGCGGAGGGAGGCGGCGGCGACAAGGACCCTCTCGAGGAGCTGTTCGAAACGGCTGACGTGGACAAATCTGGATCGATCAATGTCAAGGAGCTCAGCACCCTGATGACGGTTGCGGGAATCGGGGGGACGGCCTCCGAGGCTTTGTATGGCGCAAACATCCTGAACCCTATCGATGACGAGTTTGACGGTGTCCCGACGATGGACTGCACAGAGTTCTGCCTTTTCATGAAGGAGAAGCTCGGCGAGGACGCGGGAAAGGTGGCGAAGCAGATGAAGGATATGTTGGCTTTGCGTGCGCTGTTCGAGACGGGGATACGGTCGCAAGATGCCTTCAGGGCAAGCGACGCGGACGGCGATGGCTCCCTAGACGTGGCTGAGCTCTCGAAGCTCATGGCGGCGGCAGGGATCGGAGGATCGGCGTCCGACGCCCTCTACGACGCCAACATCAACGACGTGTTTAGCCATGACTTCACCGACGTCGCGAAGATGGATTACACCGAATTCTTGCTCTTCATGAAAGACAAGCTCGGCGACACTGCGGGATACGCGGCGGCCCAGATGAAGGAGATGACCGCACTGAAGAGTCTCTTGGGGGATTAACTTTCGTATCTGATTCAGGTCTGAAAAGAACACACAACTTCGCTCTGACCGCCCCTGTACAATTCTCAACAGTAACTCAGTAGGGGGATAAATAAATAAAACGGACACCTCTACTAGTCAGTAGGGGGAGGGCTCCCAGGGCTTTGAGATTTTTTCAGTTGCAACCATGATGATAGAGGCAAGGCGTTCAGGGTAGTGAAGAAATAAGAAGAAGAGGACATCGTTCGACCTCGCGTGCGAGATGTGTGTCGCGACCCCTCGTCGCCGGACACCTCCCGACACGGTGTGAAGAACAACTCCTGCTCTCGACCCCGCTCTACTACGCCGCCGCTCTTCTCGCACTGCGCAGCTCACACGGCCCAGCCTCGTCCTCTTTTGCCGATTTCTGTAAGCGTCCATTTTTGAATAGGTTTGGAAACCACCGAGGGGTACGATTCCACATAATTCATCCGACGGAAACGAGGCGATGGCACCTGATTCGGGGAGCAGTGGGGGGGGGGGGGTGAGGATTTGGTTCTGAAGAAGGTGGGGCAGTACCGAGGGGGATGGGGTAGGGTCACCGTTTGAGCAAGCGAGGGCTGTGGCGCCGACGGCGGCACCCTTGTACGAGGCTGTGAGGGGAGCGGCGGCGAGAGGGGGGGCGGCGGCGACGCAGGCGAGCCGCGCGCGCGCGCGACTGAGGGAAGCGCGGGCGGCGGGAAGAAGGAGAACGGCGGCGGCGGCGAGGCGCAAAACGGGGGCGGCGGAAGTGGGGACGACGGCGGCGGCGGAGTGAACGGCGGCGCGCGCACGGACGGCGACGAAATCGACGGCGGGAAGGGGCGGGGCTGCATGGCGGCTGCGGGCGCGCGCTCATATGTCGTGCTTTCGCATTGGCACTCCACATCCTCCTCGGCGACCTGCGTGCGCGGGAACGGCAGGGGTCATGTCGCGCGCACCGGGCGGCGCCGTGCTCGCAGCAGCCGGGATCGCGGCAGAGTATGGTGGAGAGCCCTACCCGCGCACCTGCCCAGCGAGGAGCTCGACGCCGCTCCTGGCAGGCGAGGCAGGGATCTCGGCGACGTTGGAGAGCGCGGGCGCACGATGTCGTGGGGAGGGCGACGCCCGTCCGCAGCTGACACGTCGTGGTGACGATGATGGCGAGGAGCATCATGGTGAAGAGGAGCGTCACGGCCCCTCGAGATGGAGGAGAGGAAAAGTGGGGGCGCGGCGCAGCACGGCAAAAATCTTGTATCAGGGCTTTAGAGGTGAACCTCAAAGAATTGAGAGAGAGAGAGTACGCACCTTGCTCTCGCTCGTCACAGAGAGAGAGAGAGAGAGAGAGAGAGAGGTGGGAGCATGGGTGGGAGATTACAGCATTAGACAGTGGACAACATGCATGCGAGATATCATGCGACATGACTAAGTGTTTGTGTCCGGTGCGCGGCAGCGCTGCGTACGCTCCAATCACCGACTCCCTCACCGAGAGACTTCACACATCGGCCCTCCTCGGCCCTCCCGCCTGGCAGCCCTGCTCGCCCTCGCAATCGCGGCCGCGCCGCCGCCTCCCGGCCGACAGTCGCTGCCCAACCGACAGCCGCTGCCCGCGCGAGGGCACAGGCGTCGCCGCACTCGACTCCCGCCCGCCGCCCGGCTGCAGGCGGTCGAGCCAACGGCTGCCTGCAGTGAGCCAGCCGCCAAGGCCAGCGCGCTTCCCCTTCTCGGGTGCGCGCCTCTCCACCGCCGGCGGCGGCGCCGCCTTTGGCGCTGTTCGGCGGGGCGAAGGGCGCTGCTGCCTCCGCTGACTATTCTCCCCCTCGCTACTTTCCGGACTCTGCTGCTGCAGCCCTAGTTGCTGCACGCGCCAGATCTCACGCGCCTACGTGTCATGGGTGCGTCACGTGTTGCGGCGCGTGAATCTTGGAGGTGGCTCGGAACTGTGTCTCGCACCGCGAGACCGCGCAGGGCCTTGAGCTGCTCGGCGTCCGCGCCGTCCGAGGGCAGCTCGTGCCGGCAGGCGGGGCACGTGTTCGCCTCCTTCTCCAGCCAGCGTCGGCCGCAAGCAGCATGGACCTGTGCGTGCAAGGAGCTGTGGCGTGAGGAGCGGTGGATGTGAGTCTCAGCTGCTTCTCAGCTCCATCCGCCCCACCTTGTGCAGGCCGGCGCACGGCACGACCATCACGCGGTTGCCCGCGGCAAAGTCCTCCAGGCATATGCAGCAGGCGGCGGCGGGGCCGAGGAGGTCGACCTCGGCTGGGGTCAGCACGTGGGTCGGCAGCATTCGCGAGCATTCGCGTGCCGTCCTCTTCTTCTTCTCGCTCTCTGGGCGGTGAAGGTGGAGTCTGATGGCGCCCGACCGCTGACTGCGACCGACGGTAGAGATCGCCTCGCGGAGGCAGCTGGCGCTCGTGTTTGTACAGTGGAGCCACACGGAGTGACTAGAGTCTGAGAACTCCAGCCGAACGTGCAGCCCAAGCTGGTCACGAGTCGGTTGGGCAGAGACAGCGACAAGCCGCCTCCCAGCCATCTGTGTTCTTAGCTGAGTCTCAAGCCGCCGCTGCGCCGCGAGCTGCCCGATTGGTGTGCGGGCGGGCATGTCCTTTGGGCGGCCAGCTGTCCGGCGGTGGTGAACGGTCGCGGCGAGCCGGAACAGACAGGACCTAATGGTCGACCTTGTTGTTCCGCGCGCGAATTCTTTTTGAGAGTAGGTAGGCTCTCTTGCCCGCAACCCGATGCCAATCATCCGGCCCGCTGGGTGTGCTTCTTAGCTTCCCGGCCCTGGATGTGCGGTTGATGACTGCACTCCAAGTGCTCCAAGTGCAAGTCTACGCCCTTTTGGTTACGACGTCCCGGACCCGGTGATCTGTGATCTGTGAGGGTCCGCCCGCAGGCGCATTTTGTATACCGAGGCGGTGCCCGGTGCCGAACCTGTCGGACCTTGAGACAGCGTTGTAGATCCCTGGGCGAGGGTGATGGCGTCCCCGTCGGGAAGGGCTGTCTGCAGTGGTGGTCTACCGTCACCCCGCCAGCGGCCCGGCGGGTTCGGCTTAGACCTCCACTGTCTGTCGGCGCCAAACCACCTCCCACCGAGGCGGGCAGGTTCCACGCGTGAGCAGACTGCCCCGTTGGAGGTAGGCCGCTCGTCTAGCCAATCAGCCTTAAGCGAGCGGCCTGGCCGTTGGAATGGCCGAGAGTGTCGGCCGGCCGTTCGGTCTCTTCCCCGGGGGGGGCCTCAATGACCTAGTTGCCCGGCCGAGAAGGGGAGGACGACTGTCCCTGACGGCGAACCTCAGTTACGAGCCGCCCTCCCCTCGAGACGCGAGGCCAGTGCACTTGGGGCCAAGCCCCAGCGTACACCGTCCCACACGCCTCACGCGGCCTCTGGCTGGAGCGGGATCGCAAGCGAGTCCCCCAGGCCGGCGCGCGTCTTCCGAGAGAGGAGCAGGAGCGAGGGACATTCTTAGTAAGCCGGCATGCAGATGCATGCACGGCCGTTCAGAAACTCTCCAGCCGTTGGAATGGCTGCGCTCCCGCCCCTCACCGGGTCGAACGGGTAGTAGGCGTGTTGGCGCCGAGGAGGGCCGCCGGTACGCGGTAGTGTCTAGTGAGAGTCAGAGTGGTTTTTGTGATCTGTGATGGAGTGGCCCGCAGGCGAATTTAATCGTTCGGCAGATGTTCCGCACTGTATACCAGGTGCGAACTATATACCAGGTCCGCACCTGGTTGCTGGTATACACGACCACATGGACATGGACCACGCACGGCTATACTTCCCCCAAGCCGCACCCTCACTCGCCCACCGCCGAGGGCGCTGCGGCGGGGGCTGTTGCCTGCTTTTGCCTCCAAAAGTGGTTGAAATCGAGGCGCGCGAGGAGGTGGGCGAGGTTCCACTCGCGGTGCGCCTGCTTGCGCAGCTCGGCCAGCAGCGCGAGCAGCTCGTCGTCGAACTTCTGGCCGAAAGTCTCCACGTTGCGCGCGTACCTCCGGTCCGAGATGAGCTGCTCCACGCGGCGACACGTCTCGCGCCGCACGGCGGCGCGCTCCTCGTGCGGCGCACCTATTCTCAGCGCGAGTCGTGACGAGACGCCGTGCGCGGGTGTGGCCGTGCGCTCCCCGTGCCGGCGCGCCCGCGCGCAGCGGCGGCGCCTCGCCCACCGCTGCGGTGATGGCGGCGGAGAGAGAGCGCGTCTGGTCGGCGTAGATGACGCAGATGGTGAGGAGCTTCGCGAGGAGCTTGAGCAGCGGCGCGTCGCGCAGCATGCACTCCTGCCCACGGAAGGGGGGGGGGGGGGGGCTGTGGGCGAGCTCTGCCGGGTCTCGGCCAGCTCTGGGCTGCGTCTCGCTCCTTGAGCGACCGGTCGAGAAAGGAGGCGTGCAGCGAGATGAGCTCGTCCACCGACTGGGCGCCTGGGGCCGAGGGGTCCGCTGAGATGGGCTCGTCCGCATGCATGATCTCGGCCGCATCTCGGCCGCATCTCGGCCGCATCTCGGCCGCATCTCGGCCGCCTCGCAGCCGCAGCATGAGCACGTGCCAGTTCGGCTCGAGCACCTCGAGCATCATGTAGTGCTCCATGTTGTGAAGGAAGTGGAGCATGCGCTGCCGCAGCGTGTGCGACGCCGCGAGCGCGCCGCCGAGAGAGCCGAGCCGCTTGGCGTCCTGCAGCCGAGATCGTGGCGAGGTTGAGGCGAGGTTGCGGCGAGATCGAGGTTGAGCCGAGATGGTGCCGAGGGTGAGCCGAGGCCGCGGCTCCGCCTGCAGCGAGAGCCAGCAGGCGGAGAGCTGCCGCTCGACGTGCTTGCAGTGGAAGAGGTGGCGGAAGAGGAGCTGGTACTTGATGAGGGCGTGGCGCGAGAGCACCAGCGAGGCGGGCCAGCCAACGCGGTACTCGAAGGTGAAGGCGTCGAGGCCGGGCGTCTTGTCGGCGGCGGCGGGCGGCGGCGGCACGGCGCGCGCCGAGTTGATGATGCGGAGGAGCTGCGAGGTGAGGTTGCAGGGCAGCAGCTCGCAGGAGAGGGAGGAGCGGTACGGGTCGACGAGCGCCGCCTGGCGCAGCGACAGCTCCAGCTTGGACGCGAGCCTGCAGACACCCAACCGATGCTTGGGCGGGGTGGCGTTGAGGTGTGGGGGGGGGTGTGGGTGTGGCCGAGGCGTGGCCGAGACAGCTAGAGCGCGCGCCTCCCGACAGAGATGCGCGCGACGGGCTTGACGAGCTCTTCCTCCGCCTGCAGGGGGATCGGAGACAGGCTGCGAGCAGGGCTCCTCCTGCGGGGCGGCTGTGCGCGGGCGAGTCGGCTCGGCCGAGTCCAGGAAGTGGACGAAGAAGTCGCCCTGGTCGAGCAGAAAGTAGTGCTTGAGCGACGCGAGCCGGCCGAAGAGCTCGCCCTCGCCCTTGCCGCCCCCGAGCAGCAGCTGCAGCGCGCGCGCGTTTGCCCACGCCCGAGCCTCCACGAGAGCGCCTCCCAGCGCCGTGGCGTCGAGGAGGCAGTCCGGCGACGAGAGCGGGCCGCCCTCCTGCTCGAGCCGCGGGTTGGACGGCTCGAGGCCGCTCTCCCTCGCCAGGTGCAGCAGCTTGCCCGCGTCGAGCGCCGTGCGCGCGTGCGGCGCGAGAGCGGGCGGCGTCAGCTCCGGCCGCGAGGAGAAGCGCCGCTCCCAGTACGCGCAGCTGAAGTCGGAGGTGAGGCTCTCCTTGGCGATGCGCGGGTCGCTGACGACGAAGAACTCGCCTACGAGGCGCGGAGGGAGGCTGCTGTCCGCACGCCTCGCACGCCGCTCGCGTCGCGGCAGAGACGTCTCTCGCCGTGCGGGTCGTCGCACACGCCGCAGTACACCCACTGCCGCAGCGAGCGCAGGAAGGGCGCCGCCGCCCTCCGGAAGAGAAAGCCGCACAGCGCGCGCCCGTCCTCGTCGCCCCCGAGCCCCGCCCGCCGCTCCGCGAGCAGCCGCAGCAGCCCCCCGCCTCGGTGGGGCGGGGGAGGCACCGGCTCGGCAAAGCCGGCCGCCCCGTGGCCTCCCCCCGCTCCGCCTCTGTCTGGCGGCGCGAGAAGCTCGCAAACGAGGGAGTGGAGCAGGGCGAGCGCTCGGCAAGCGGGCTGCAGCTCGTGGACCTGCTCACGGGGCCGGTGGCTGTGAAGAGAGCGCCTCCTGGGCGCCTCGCGGGCGGCAGCTCGCCACGCCAGCTGCTGCAGAGGCAGGGCCGCCTCGCGGTGCTCGCTCTGCAGGACGGCGAGCGAGAGGCAGTGCTCCGAGAGGCAGTCCCGCACCGCCGCCGCCAGCGCGTGCACCGCCAGACCGCAGTTCGGCAGCCGCCCGACGCAGCCCACCCAGCCCCGCAACTCGACCAGCTGGTCCGCCGAAGGAAGCAGCCGCCGCGCGAGCGTCAGTAGGGACAGGTCCGCGCCTCCACCTCCGCCTCCGCCACCGCCTCCGCCACCGCCACCGCCGCCACCGGCTCTGGTTCCGCTGCCGCCTCCGCCGATGGCGAAGCGCGCGGAAGGGACGCTGCACGCGCTGCTGGCCGGGAGCGGCGTGGCGCGGATGTGCACCCCGTCGTACCCCGACAGCACGAGGAGGAGGTCGGAGACGAGGCAGCGCTCCTGCGCCTACAGGCAGGATGCCGAGAAGCCTCGGAAGAGGCTCCGGGCCGGAGACGAGGCAGCGCCCCTGCGCCTCGAGCGGCAGTGCGCCAAGCGCGGAGAGGGGCGGGGGCGCGCCAGACACGCCAGACACGCCCTCCCTCACACACTCGCCCCAGCCCTCGCCGCCGCCGCCCTCGCCGCCGCCCTCGCCGAGGTGTCGCCAGCACAGAGCCGGGCGGCCAAAGAACCAGGCCGACTCTGCGGGCGGCAGCGGGCGGCTCGCCGGCAGCTCGCGGCCCCCGTGCGGCAGAGGTGGCGCGAAGGAGTCGGCGCGGCCAGCCGCGCCCGCCCTTGTGCCGCCGGAGGGTGAGGGCGAGGCTGCTGCAATCCGGGTGGCGGCGGGAGGGAGGGTGGACGAGGCGGCCGGCGCCGACCGGCCGCCTCCGCAGCTCCCCGACGGCGGCTGCTGTGGCGGAGGACGCGGGTGCGGCGGCGCCGCGCTGCCCGAGCCGTCGGAGGTGGAGCGGAGCAGCTCCGCGACGGCGCGCTCCTCACCGACCCGCTGAAGGAGGGCGGTGAAGCGGTCGAGCTCGCCGACGCCGCGCGCGCGCAGCGAGGCGTGCGCGGTAGCGAACTGGGCCGCGTCGGCGCTCCGATTGCCCACCGCACGCTCGGTGCAGCGGCGGTACGCCACCGCCGCGCCGTGGGTGGAGAGCGGCTCGGCGGGGTGCTCGCGCAGGAGGGCGAGCAGGCGATCGGCCGCGTCCTGCTCGACGCCGAGAATTTCGAGGGCGCGCGTGCCGAGTGTGGTGATGGCGCTCATGCGACAAAGGGCTGCCGCCGGGCGGAGGCGGAGGCTTTGAGAGCGTGGCAGCGGCCGCTACTACCGTTCAGCCTTTCGCGCTACTATTGTGCTGCACGAATGGTTGGGCAGGTGTGAACAACAGCTAGTGACCACGGCGCCGCAGGCGCCTGTTCCAGGTGACAGCCCTGGGTGGGCAATCCATACGCCTAGTTGGGCCTCAGATCGCCGCCACCGCCCTCAGGTGCTCTGTGGTCGGATTTGTGACGCCGCCGCTTACCTAAAAATCCTTGGGGCCGGCTCTGGCTTGAGTGCCGGGTGGAGCTAGAAACCACGGCGTGGGGTGGATGAGGGCTGTTGGAAAGGCTTAGAAACGGCGTTCGGATCCTTTCTTTATCTCAAGCTTAGTCCGACAGTCCAGCCCTCTGCAGAACGCTCACGCCAGGCCACTTCCATCGATGGAACCGCCCTACACCCCTCCCTCGGCGCGCTCGAGCGGTTGGGGCGGCTTTTCGACACCGCCGAGCCGCTCCTCCGGTGGATCGAGCTCCAAGGCGGACTACACTGGCGACCGGTTCATCCCGACGCGGCGCGGAGTAAACCTGGCCGAGCAGTTTGCGCTCCTGCCAGAGGGCGGCAGCGGAGGCGGAGGGGGGAGCGGCGGGAGCGGAGCCGAGCGCAGTGGCGACGGCGGCGCCGCCACCACGCCGCGCGATGACGACCCGTACAACATGCTGCTGCGGAACGAGTTGCTCGGCGACAATGTGGCAGTCACTTCGCGGCGCGGCTCGGGACGGCACGGCGCGAGGGGCGGCAGCGCGGGGGGAGGGTCGGGCGGCAGCCTCTTCCAGTACCGCGTCTCTCCCGCTCGAGACGCGCCCGCCTCTCCCTTCTCCCTCTCACCCGTGGAGGTGGCCGCTGCCTCCCTGCCTCTCCCCCTCCCTCCCTCCTCCTCTCCCCTCTCCTCTCTGCCCCAGCCACCCCCCTCTCTCTCTCCCCGTAGGCGGACCCGATGCTGCCCGCGGCGCGGCGCACGCAGCGAAAGATCCCGTCGGTGCGGGGAGAGGGCTGCGGACGCGCCACGCAGCGAGGCCGCGCCAGTCCACACCCCTGCCCGCTCTCAGGTGCCGTACAAGGTCCTCGACGCCCCCGCCCTCCAGGACGACTTTTACCTCCACCTGGTCGACTGGTCGTCGACCAACGTGCTCGCCGTCGGGCTCGGCGCGTGCGTCTACCTGTGGAGCGCGTGCACGAGCAAGGCGAGGCGAGAGCTCGGCCAGCTTTAGGGCGGGCCGTCTCGACCGCCCTCCCTCCCCTCCCCCCAGGTGACCAAGCTGTGCGACCTCGGGCAAGAGACGGTCACGTCGGTCTGCTGGGCGCAGAGAGGCGCGCCTCGCCGCGGCCACGGGCGGGAGGCCAGGGGCGGGAGGCGTGGGGAGGCGCCGCGCTGACACGGCTCGGCCGCGCGGGCAGGCACGCACCTCGCCGTGGGCACGAGCGTGGGCGAGGTGCAGGTCTGGGACGCGGCCAAGGCTTCGCTGCTCCGGACGATGGGCGGGCACCTCGGCCGTGTCGGCACTCTGTCGTGGAGCGGTCCCTCCCTGTCCTCGGGCTCGCGAGACCGGACCATCTGCATGCGCGACGTGCGCAGCGCGCCGCCCTTCACCTCGCAGCTGGTGCGCGCGGGCAGGCGGCGGTCCCCCTCCCCCCCGGCCTGAGACCTTGAGCCGCCCTGCCCGCCCACCGCCCTGTGCAGGTCGGCCACAAGCAGGAGGTCTGCGGGCTGCGGTGGGCACACGACGGGTCGCAGCTCGCGTCGGGGGGGAACGACAACAAGCTCTTCATCTGGTGCACGCCACGCACCTCTCGGCCCCTCCCGCCGAGGCCGCCCTCTCCACCCCTCGCCTCTTCACGCCCCACGCGCAGGTCGCCGCACGGCACCTCCCCGCTGCTCCGCTTCTCCGACCACACCGCCGCAGTCAAGGCGCTTGCGTGGTCGCCGCACCAGAACGGGCTCCTCGCCTCGGGCGGGGGCACCGCCGACCGCTGCATCCGCTTCTGGAACACCCAGACCGCCACCGCCCTCTCGGCGCTCGACACGGGCTCGCAGGCGCACACGCAGCCCGCGCGCCTCGGCGGCTGCACCTCTCGGCCGCACCTCGGCGGCTGCACCTCGGCGGCTGCGCCTCTCGGCCCTGCGCCTCTCTCAGGTGTGCAACCTCTGCTGGTCGTGCACTGTCAACGAGCTCGTCTCGTCGCACGGCTACTCGCAGAACCAGATCGTCGTCTGGCGCTACTCGAGCATGGCCAAGGTCGCTACGCTGAGCGGCCACACCATGCGCGCGCCTCTCTCGGCGCCCGCTCGGCACACAGCTCAACGAGGCCCGGCCCTTGACGCGCGTGGGCTGCGAGCAGGCGTGTGCTCTACCTCGCTCTCTCTCCCGACGGGCAGACAGTCGTCTCTGGCGCCGGCGGCGACACGCGCGCTGCTGCGTGTGAAGGCGTGCCCTCTTCACGGCGCGAGCGCGTGAACAGGCGCCGGCGACGAGACGCTTCGCTTCTGGAATGTCTTCCCGCAGGCGGCCGGGATGCGGCCGAGATGCGGCCGAGATGCAGCTGAGATCGAGCCGAGAGGCGCAAGAGATGCGGCCGAGAGGCGCTGGGCCGAGAGGTGCTGGTCTGTCGCCCGTCTGCAGGCGCGCCGCACGACGGGCGACGAGGCGGCGCCTTTCTCGCGCGCGTACACGGTCAGATGAGGCGCAGCTGGGGCTTGGTGCGCGCGCACGTGCCCACGGCGGCTCCTGACTCCTTGGCGCCGGTCAGGGCAGCGCTGCAGCCGGCGGCGCGAGGCGGCGGCGCAAGAACGCGGCGGGCCGCGCCGCCCGGAGGCTGCGGAGAGGGAGGAGGAGAGAGGTACGGGCGCTCGCATTTGGCGGCCATCTGCCGGGCAATTGTAGGAGGAGTATTCCCCAGACACGTGTCGTACAGTCGGGGGCACGCGGTCGCTGGGCGCTGCGCGAGGCCGCGGAGCTCAACGCTGCGCGCCAGGCCGCCAGCGCGTGGTATTGGGAAAGAAGGAAAATAACAGAAAAAAGGAAGTAGCTCTTCTTTTGTTTTTCCAGTTAGCGCGCCATAAAATAAAACGGACACCACGAGGGGTGTGCGTTCCGGGTGCACACCACAAGCCAGGGAAGGGGCACCCGGAACGCACAGTCAAATCGTTCGCCTTTCAGGAGGCGGAGAGTATCAGCCGAAGGGCGAAGGTGCGTTGGGCCGCGCGCAACGGCCACGCAGTGCTGTCGTTGCAGCACGACGGTATAGTCGTAGCGGTCAAGAGAGGGAGTGACGCCGGCGACGTGGCGGAACAGATGGCGAGGGCGAGTGAGGAGGCGCTCGGATACCGGCAGCCGTGCGAGCTAAAAGAGCAAGAGCCGCCGAGCGGAGTAGCGAGACCGCAACTGGCGACACGCGATGAGGTGGGAGGGGTAGTGCCGGGGCTAGGAGAGATGGAGGGCTCGCCCCCGAGGCACGGCGCGTGGGTAAGAGACGCCGAACTCCAGGAGGATCCGCTTACGCGCTTCCTACTGCGGTGGGACGAGTTTGAGGTCGGGACACGGGCGCTGTCCGACAGAAACGGGACGCAGATTATGATGGGCAAGGATAAAGAGCCGCTCGGCTCGGAGAAGGGCCGTGAGCTCAACGCGGAGGTTGCCAGGATATGCCTCGCGCTGCACAGAGCGCGGCCATTCACGCACCTCGCTGCGACGGATGGAGGGAGAGACATGCCAAACAAGTGGGTGGGGGATAGGTTCGTGCCGCGACCAGTTGTGTCGTATGGGGTGTACGAAGGACCGGCCCGATTCGGGAGACCCGTCGAGGGATCTGGACAGCTCGAAGGCGGGGACGATGAGCTGCGGCTCGCGTTTGGGCAGGGGCTGTGGGGCGGCAAACTGCCAGACGACTGGCAGGTGATAGACGCGGAAATGTACGCGGTGCTGGCTTACCTGCGTAAGATGGCAACGGCGGAGGTCTGCGGGAGCACATAGAACTATTAGTGAT